TTAAAATGAATATGTTACTAGAAGATTTCTAGCAATTCTAACGTCTTTCCTAGCAATTGTGAGTTTAAATCTTGCCGATCTCACAATTGCGAAGGAAGTATAGAACCCTTCAGTTTTGATATTGCCATTCCTTCACAGAGTTAAGATGAATTCCAGAAACTGCAGGTTTGTCACAGAATAAGCCAATAAAATTTATATTAGATTCAGAATTTGCCAAATTGTTTTCTACAAACAAAACAATATAAAAAAATCTACTTTTTGAGATTTGAAACTCTAGAATTACAATTCTAAATGTGATTTCTTAATAATATTATAATTTCACAATTCGGTGTTTAAATCTTACAATATCTGACTTTATTTCTTTCTAGTTTCTATTTGGCAATTCTGACTTCACAGGCTTTATCCAACAGCGACTATATTTCTCACAGATGTCTCAGAAAAAATATAGTAAAAAATATAAGTCTAAATTATTTGCCCTAAAATTATTTTTTAACGAAGAGATTTTTTCAACACATTTCTAATCATAATAGTTTTAATAATTAATTTAATAATTAAGACATTTCTATACAGTTTAAAAGGACATTTAAAGGCTTAACTAGGTTAATTAGTTTAACTAGGCAGGTTGGGGTAATTAGGCAAGGAAATGTATAACAATTGTTTGTTCTGTAGACAGTCAAAAATAAATATAGCTTAAATGGGCTAATAATACTGACTTTAAAATGTTTTTTTTATTAAAAGCTTATTAAAAGCTGCTTTTATTCTAGTTGAAATAGAACAAAGATTCTCCAGATGAAAAAAAAATATTATCAGGCATGCTGTCAAAATTTCCTTGCTCTGTTTAACATCATTTGGGGGGAAAAAATAAATAAATTCAAAGGGGAGCTAATAGTTCTGACTTCAACTGTATATGAAAGTTTGGTTCTGCTACAGATATGGGTGTATAAAATGGCATAAAAATACACACACAAAAAAAAAAACTGATGATTGCCTTTCATGCAAAAGAGGAATTTTTCAAAATCACCACGTGTAATGGTTTCATTTTTCCTTCGGTACTAGTTCTAATCCTGTTCTGATTGTGCAAGGAAGAGAAGCTCTCGTGTGTTCCTTTACATAATATCACAGCACAGCACTTGACTGTCTTAAGTAGTATGTTATACTTATTTAACAGCAACAGGGCAAAGGGTATAACAGCACACAGGAAATGTCTGTCCACCAGTGTGCGATGCAGTTTACAACTCAGCTTAACAAACTGCTGGCTGAATGCTTTCACAGAGTCACATGCTGAGCAGAATTACAGTCAGCTGTGGCGCAACATACAGAAGTGAAACTGATCGAAAAGATTTCAACCACATCGAAAGCCTGCACCGACTATTTGTGCCACTAATCATCTGAGAATACACGACATTTTGCAACTGAGAAAGAGTACATAAACTATTACGTTTGTAAATAGAGAAAACACGGACAGCCAGGTCAACTTCACGCAGCATAAAAATTGTGCAGGAAATATTTTTGAACTGCTTAACCAATAGAACTAGCTCTGGACTGCCATTAAATTGCCACATCAAAAGCGAAAACTTTCATGAAAGTATTATAATAAGATGTACAAATTTACTTTAACAGATATTTAAGTTAAAAAGTCCAGACGTGTTTTAAATTAAATAAACTGAAATAGCTTTATCAAGTAGAATATTTAGCAATTTACAATAGGGTCATTAGTAAACATTAGTTAATGCATTGACTAACATCAACAATGAGAAATAGCTACATTTCTTACAGATATTATGTTAATGTTAGTTAAATGAAGATTATTAGCTCCGATAAAAGTAAACAGTTACAAGTTCTTATATTAATCAGTATATAAACATTAAAATCACATAATATTTGATTAACAAAGTCTTCACAAGTCATTGTCAGTTTAGTTAGCCAATGTTAATAACTGGGGCCTTACTGTATTATGTTAACAAATAATACACCTATAAAGAATCTAAAGGTTTTCATTTAACACCTAAACGCTGATTTATACTTCTGCATCAAGCGCATGTGTATGCTCCGGCGCAGAGAAATACAAACAGTGTGCAGAAGTATGAATGCACGACAATGCGCAAGGCAGGCGCGTGGGTCACACCGATCCCTCAACTCAGAAATTTAAACCAGGCTTAAGCCATGTTGACCAATTACAATGTGAAAATGATCATGTTTGAAAATAAAGTCTACTACATCAAGCCGAAACATTCATAAAACCCTATCAAAAAGTTAATGAATAACAAATACTTGCAGTGTTTTTACAATACTGAATCCTGATTTACAGCAATAATGAAAATTGCTACGTCTCCAAGTAAAAAAAAAAAAAAAAAAAAAAAAAAAAAAGCAAACAAAAATAATGTAATAGACTGCACAGGGGCAGACTTAGTAGCCCAGGAAATTAGGGGGCGTTGACTAGGGCTGTGCGATTAATCGAAATCGAATCACGATTTGAAACGTTGCAAGAGGCTGCAATATGAAATATATATGTATTTTTCAATTTCCCATGCATGACTGTCGTCTGTGTGCGACAGTCTTACTTGCCGATTGAATGAGCACACTTTTGATCTGCCCAATTTAGAAATGCGCAACCGAACTATGCGGACCGCCCACAATTAAAAAAAAAATTAAGAAACAGAAGAAAACAAACAGGAATGCGTTTATGACTGGGATAATGGCATCTGCTTCTTCAAAAGCACTAATAGATGAATATCAAAGGAGAACAATACAACAGTAATGTGGGAATATTTTGGTTTCAAAGTCACAGGCACAAAACAAAAACAGGTCATTCTTAAGAGCTGTCACAGAATTGTTCTCACGGCTTAAAGATTATTGAGATGAAGCTTGACTACAAAATCAAATCTCAATATCTGTCAAAAAAATCTCAATTAGATATTTTCCCCAAAACCGCACAGCCTTGGCGCCGGCCAACGCCAAGAATTGCTTAAATTAATCATTATAAATTTAATTTACTAATTTTCTATCATATGTTGTAAAATCGGCAGCTCATTCCACTGTGGCAATAATTAATAAAGGGACTAAGCCAAAAAGAAAATGAATGAATGTTGTAAAATCTGTCTAGATAACTGTTTAGATTTTAATGTTATTACGTTTTTTAAAACCAAGGGCCCTCACGAAAAATGGAACGTTCCTTACATACTGCACATACAAATACCAAAATCTAATCGCAAATATGGCTTATTAACGGTACATATAGTTAGTCTGTGAACTTTTCATTTGTGAATTTATTGTATTTAATTTGTTAATTTGATAAAGGTTCCACTTAAAATATATTATTAACATGCAGTTTATTTATAAAAAATCTTCAGTGAAAAAAATATATACAGTTTAAGTCAGAATTACAAGGCCCATATGATTTTTTTTTTCATTATTTCCCGTACAGTATGTAATTATATTAACAGTATGTCTGATAATATTTTTTCTTCTGAAGAAAGTCTTATTTGTTTTATTTCAGCTAAAATAAAGACACGTTTTAATTTTTTAAAAACCATTTTAAGGTCAAAATGATTAGCTCCTTTAGGCTAAATTTTTCCTGATAGTTTACAGACCCAATTACCCTAACCTGCCTAGTTAACTTAATTAACCTAGTTAAGCCTTTAAATGTCACTTTAATCTGTATAGAAGTTTCTTGAAAAATATCTAGTCAAATATTATTTACTGTCATCATGGCAAAGGTAAAGTAAATCATTTATAAGAAATAAGTTCTTAAAACTATTGTTTAGCAATGTGTTGAGAAAATCTCTGTTAAACAGAAATTTGGGGAAAATATAAATAGGGGGCGAATAGTTCTGACTTCAACTGTATAAATACATATACATCTATAGAGAAATATAATGTTTGTGTTTCAATGCTTTGGGGCCCATACCTGAAATTGCATAAGGCCTTCAAAACAACCAAATCCAACGCTGAGACTTCAATACAAACTCGATCGATTTAATATTCAATATTCTCATTATTTTACAATCAGTTACCAAAATGAATTCTGCCTTTTATTTGCACATTTTCGACGATTAAGTAATTAAACGTCTAAATTTTGTGATTGCACGATCACCCCAAAATACACAAATATGTGAATACTACATTTTTAGAGACCAACACGATTATCCCAAGCCGGAGGAGTGCGTTATATAACTGCAGAACATTTTGGAAAAGCAGGCAGGGGGTTACTGTCCTACTTTCTCTTTGGTTGTAAAGCCCCTCCCGCACAGAGCAGCGCCTGCCGCGCACATGGAACATCGGGGGAGGGGTTCTGTCCACGCGGATCGCAGAGGAGGGCGTGAATACACCAGACACGTCAACTGGGCGTGACAAAGCGGACACGTCACCGAGCCTCTACAGAAAGCGCCAGCGAACACACGCAGCGCGGGAGCGAAAACAATAGTGAGAAATGCATAAAAACGTAAACTATTGCACTGAAGAACAACATGTGGAAAGTAATCACAACATTGGGTCAATTACTGCCTACAAAGGGGAAGCGAATGAAAGCTGCGTAATGTGATCCCCTAATCATTATATAAAGCGCAACTGGCACTCGCGCACGTACTTGTAAGCCACCGCCCTTAAAAGCAAGCAGGTATGTTTTCCTACATGAACACTGCATTGAATGAAGTGTTCGACCGTGAACTATCTCAACAATTAAAGCAAGAAACACACATTCTCCTCCTTTTAACACACAACTGTCGCTATGCGGAAAACGCCGGTTTACTACTGACACACAGCAAGTACGCGTAGGAAGATTACATTGCAGTTTTGCAGACTCTGTTGTTTTTAGGAGGATATTATAACGTTAATGTTGAATGTCACGCACAGCACGCAGCCCTGCTTTTACGCGGACTGTGGCAAACCGTGCAACAATGTCTCGCATTAACCTGCTACAACATTATACAGCAATACTGATACATTAAAGTGACTCTCTGTCTGTCACAAAGGTTTATGTGCTCAAATTTTCCATTTCTTACCACGTGCTTTCTGTTGTTGCAGGGCTTGCAATTCCAAAAACTTCGCCGCCTCTAAAAGCGTCTCGATACTCATCTCGGTTTTGTTTTATGGTCCAAGAAACGATTGGAGAAATGAATCAGCTCTCTGGATTCAAACGCTTCAGTTCGGGACCCAATCTTCTCGTCTGTTTAATAAAATAATAATAAAATAAAAGGAAAGACGTGACTGGATCCCCCGTGAAGTCACACTCTTCCACGCACGTAGAGGAGTCACAACAAGATGGCGGGTTATTCAGTCAACATATCGGGCCATTGTACAGACAGCTCGGTCACGCCCCCTGCTTCAGTGACCCCGCCCTACACATGCTGGGCTTTCAAAACACGGACATGGATATTTCTTATCAACGCGTTTATTCGACGAATTACACGAAAACTAAACATTGAATACAATCAGTGACTTGTATACTAATGTATTACACATATGTTGGCTAAAAGGACGAAAGCGGACCGCCCTAAAATAGAAATGTCAAATCCAGGTTTTGCGCAATACACCTACACACACCACGCCTCTGCGTCATTAATAAAACATGAGCTCAAAGCAGCCAATAGGAAAGCAGACACACAAGGCATGGTATCTGCTCACATGGGTGTCATTCTGCGCGTCTCGCACGCCAACAACTGAGAACGAAAACGCAACCTGCAGACCGACCCGATGACGTGCTGTTTGTGATGCAGCCACGATTCAAACACACTGCGAGTATCGATTAACAGTCTGCTGTGAACAACTTCTACAACAGATAAACAACACAACAGTAGTAGAAAACATTAGGATTTAAATATCTGCCTATGAAGCAATGGACATATTCAGATACAGTTATGAAATTGTTGATTTGGAATGGATCCATATATTAAAATATAATTTGTATGTATTGAGTCTGCAAATTACAGCAAAAAGGTACATTTTGATCATTTGTTTTTACTATTTAAATATTGTTTTCTATCTAAATATACTTTATTTAAGCCCATAGCCAGCCTATTAAAAGGGGTGGTTCTTTTTTCTCAAAAAGTGGACCTTATGCAGTTAATTGAGGTTCAAATACTGCATTTAGTCGCATTTTAAGCACTAATTTGTGCTGGATTAGCTTTATCATTTCCACACTTTTTAATGCAAAAAATACTTTTCACATTTTTGTCAAAGTGCTTATCATACTATTTTTTTTCTTTTACAAAATGTGTTTATTTACATACGTGCATTTAAACAATGTTATATTACTAAGTTACAATGTTATATTACTAACATATAATGTAATAAGGTTAGAATTTTAGAAATATGAAAAATACTTTTTTTTGCATGCAAATTTGTCATGCATCAGAAAATGTGAATCTGTTAAAACTTAAAAAAAAATAAAAATAAAAATAAATTAGCCAATAAGCAAATAACAAACTGGCCAGCTCATTTTCTCAGTCTGAATTTGTCTATTTAAATAATAAAAGCCTTCTTTTATTGGTTATTTTCACAATTTATGATGGCATACTGTCAAAAATGGGACAAATGAGCTCATTCAGGGGCCAAATTTTGGACTTTGTCAGAGAAGGGGTGGGTCTTTAGAATGGAATTTACACACACACACACACACACACTATGCATCTTTTTTTGCCTTTCACTACTACTAAATTCTTAGATCAGAAATAAATCCAGCATATTGACACTGGTCTGTCATTTTTAGCAATATACAGGGCTTCACTCTGCAGTCTTGTTTTCACTGGAGATCCTATCAAAGTAGCACAGACTGTGCTGCCATGAAACATGCACTGACTGAATAAAGGCAAAGTCATGTGACCGTATCCATGGTGACCACTGAGACAGTGAACTGCAGGACAGTAGGGAGTCTTCAAGAGGAGAGAGAAAGAGAAACAGATTGAGAACACATACCATTATCAATGTTGAAGAGCATTCATTATATATATATATATATATATATATATATATATATATATATATATATATATATATATATATATATATATATAGCATGGGCTGGTGTAATATTCTGACATGAAAACCTTAGATAAAAATATTACAGTATCACGGTATTGTGGTTCCTGCTCTATAATATCGTTGTAATGGTCTGGGTAATAAACAACAACTTTTTTCCTCTTTGAACACAATATATTTGCTTTTGAGAAACATTTAAAATATTTTGGAGCAGTAAACATGTCAGGCTAAATAATTCAAATGAATCCTTGACTTCTGCTGTCTTCATTTACTTAAAAAAACACACAGTTTTTTTTACAATTTACAACAGAATCTTTAGGTGTCTTTTCTGCTGAAGATGCTGTTGTCCTAAAAAAAACAAAACAAAACAAAAAATCTTCCACATACCGTAGGAATGGTAAAGCAAAAAATTTGGATGGTCCTATGCCTAATATACACACACACACACTGCATGGGTCTGTTTATATAACATAATAACACAGACGAGATAAGAACATCTAGATATTTACAGCTATAGGGAAAAACACACTTCTCACCCTTTTGCCACTGAATTTTTCAAAGCAACGCATTCAGTTTCTTTTAAAACGACTTTAAAAACAGCAGAAGCCTTTTAGTATACATCTCTCTGATGGAAAAAAACAGCTTTCCACTCGAGTTTCACAATCCTGTGCATGTGGTTGACTTATACGTACATCAAGTCATTCTTCATTTCCTTCTAATCACTTGAAAAGGTCAAAGCAAACACACTTAAAGCTCTCATGCTTTCTTATGACTCTCACATGCATGGTGAACAGTGGGAGAGAGGCGTTAGTTTGTTTACCCTGTATGTGCTTCATGTGAGTGGCGCTGCACATTATCGGCTCGTGCTCCTGTCGGTCACCGCTGAGACTCTTCCTGTTGTGAAGAAGCCCCGCTCCTCTCAGGACGTCTGAACGCACTCAAACTTCCTGTCCAATAAGCAACAGGGCATTCCAGAGAAGGGAAACGCAGAAGAACAGCTCCAGCTATTGTTTTAATATTTGGATACTTTTAAATATATATATATATATATATATATATATATATATAAAATTTTATTTTTATTTTTTTTTGACTGTTTGACTGTTAGGGTGAATTCGGGTAATCTGGGACACTTTTTGCAATTTTGACTTCGGCTCTCTATTTCAATGTCTGTCTAACTAATTAGAACCACATATGAGACTTTTCTGAAATCCCTAAGATGTTTTCTAACCACCCAAGAAAATCTAGGTTAACAGTGTTAATTTAAATTCGTATTTAATATATTAATATTTAATTAAAACAACTACTTATAATTCAAGAAATGCAAAACATTAGTTGATATTAATGTATTTAAATTTTCTGAGAATTATTTATTTTTCTGCAATAAATATTACGAAGTTTTCAGGAAGAGAAATTAATAACAATGCAAAAATGCTTTTCTTACTTTGCTTTGTCTCATTTCTAGTCCAAATTTAAAAAAAAAATCAAGTAAAAATATTGTTTTGTTTTAAAATTCTGATAAAATAAGGCAAAATTAAGAGTTTTTTCTTAAAACAACCCAAATAATCTGCCAGTGAGTTAAGTTATTAATCTCGTTTTCACTTAGAAATGTGAATATTTGGACTAAAAACAAAGACAAAAAACTTTTTTGTAGCATAAATCATATGAAATCTGTATAAATACATTGATTAAATACAATTATGTGCCTCCTAGGATCCGTTCTTCATACCTTGCTTAAATGATTTAACAAATCCTGTATCTGTTAATCTTGATACCTGATTTCTGGCTAATTTGGTTCTTCAAACAAGTTTGTGAATCAGATTAATTTTTCTGGATGAACTGATCTGAGATCGCTATGTGTGATGTGAAGAACTGATCTATCAATCCTGGAAATCATGATCAGTAGTGCAGCGATTGGCTGATGGCACAGCAGTGTAATGACATCATCTGATTAATATTCAATTATCCATGTGAGCAAAGTGACATAAAATTGGTAGTGAACGGTTTGTTAAATATGAAACACAGTAACTCTCCACCTTTGTTGTGGGCTGCAGGCTTTACACTTTCATGTGTCAAGAGTATTTAGCAATATATTTAGTTTTAAAGAGGATTTTCTTTATTATAGTAGTCTAGGTCTATTCACATTTCCTAATCAGTGTAGGCAATAACTGACTGTTTAACTTAATTGTGCATCAAAAAAGCATTTTGATTTTGGTAAAGATGTCTGCAACTTTTGCGAAGCATCAAATCACCGGCATAATAGCTGTCAAAACAATGAATTATGTTTTATAAAAAATGAACATAAACAATTATTAAACTGGCACCTTAAGTAATACGCGTGTGTCTAAAAAGTCCATATTAATAAATGTTCTCTTGGAACCCCTCAAGGACAACCATGCTGTGATAGTCTTTTTAGCTTTATGTATTTATGTATGTATGTATGTATGTATGTATGTATGTATGTATGTATGTATGTATGTGTATATATATATATATATATATATACACACACACACATATATACATACACACACACACACACACACACACACACACACACACACACACACACACACACACACACACACACACACACACACACACACACACACACACACACACACACACATACATACATACATACATACATGCATACACATTTTTTTTTTTACTTTTTATTATTATTTTCCCAAGTGTATATAACTACTACTGTAAGAAAAAATCTGAATTTGGTACATATTTTCAGTATCATCTTTGTTGAAATGACCCAATCTAATCCTGTTTATATGAAATAAGCTGCTGCTCCTGAGCAGGTTTGAGCTACCAGAACTACTATGACAACGACTATCGAATGAGTTTTGAAGAACCAAATAATCCTAGATTGTGTCAAATCATCAATAATCAAATACAGCTAATTGAGTAATCCACGTACTAAGAACAAACCCCTGGTCAACTATAATCCAGATTTAGCATTCATGTCATTCGACTTAACATGCCTATCTTTGGGGTGTGACTATTGCAGATGTGCACATTGCGAATATTGATGCTAAAATGATATATTGTGCAGCCCTAATCTGAACCAAATCCCTATTCTACTCAATTTTATTTGATTTTATTTACTAAAATATATTGCATGTATAAAAAAAATGTAGAAATCCTAACTTATAAAATATTTTACTATTGTTATTCGGTAGGAAATGTATGTCACAATATAGAAGACAAATAAATCTTGATAGTTTATTTTACAGAACTACGATCATATTTTCTGAAGAACATTAAGATATGATAGTACTTGAAAAAAAAAACAAAAAAAAAAAACTAAGAGCACACCTTAAAAAACACAAAGTCACCAAAACACTACAAAACACAACAAAACTACTTAAAATATTTTGTTTTTATTACAAACATAGTAAAACTTTGTTCAGTGTCTTATAAAAAACATCAGTTGGTGCAGTAACGATTAACTTTTGACTTGCAGTTCGGTTTTCCAGCATTGTGGATGGTGTTTATGTGCAGAATGATCAGTGTGTGTGTGTGTGTGTGTGTGTGTGTGCTGTTCAGGTGGGCTTGGCTACCTGTCGGAAGAGAGCGTTCTTTAAGCAGGTACAGAGCTGGTTCATCAGGTCTTTATTCTGGCCCTCCACCCAGTGCATCTCCACCAGCACATCCTTCTCCTCCTCCTGCTTTACGTTCACCAGGCACTTGAAAAGGAAGTGCTGCAGTGCTTCTGCGTTTGCAGGAGACTCCGGCGGGATGTCCGGCTGCTGCTGCTGCTCTGTGACGGAGGTTTCTTCTGAGGGTGGCTCCTGTGCTCTGGGTAGCTCTCGCAGATGTCGGCCCTGTTCTCTTCTTTTTTGCCGGCTGTGGATCCAGGTGTTCTCCACAGCTGTCAGGAAGAGGCTCAGCTCCACTTCTCCACCAGGAACACGCTTATGAAGGACCTGAAGAACAAACACATCAGCCACTCTTCTGCTATAGGAAGTCTACAGAAAGTCACTTTCTGTATACAAAAAGTGTAGGGTAAAAAGTTATAAATTTTTTATTATCTTAAATAATTTTTTACTTTTTAATTTAGTCATGTGTAATTATTTATTATTAATAGCATGTATATATACACACACACGCCACTTTATTAGGTACACCTTACTAGTACCTGATTTGACCTCCTTTTGCTTTCAGAACTGCCCTAAACCTTGGAAATAATACTGGAAATATACCTCAGAGATTTTTTTTGTGTGTGTGTGCATGTTATTACTATTACAATATATTTGTTAACCAAATAAAAACTTTTTGCTAGTTGATTTATTTAACAGTAATACTTATAAAATACTGTAAATCTAATAAATCTATAAATACTAATATTGATGAACAAATAGTCACAAAGTTAAACAGTCATTGCCTTTGTCATTTAATATATAGAATAGTATTATTAGTTTATTTTTCAATCATTTATATGTTGGCTATAAAAATAAATCAAGATATAAGCTTTCTTCATAATTTACTATTATAACTATTACTGTGATTATTTCTAAACCAGTACATTTAATGATGAAAAATGGTTGTGATGGTGTGCTTTTACCTTGAGGTCAGTGAGGATGTTCTCCAGCCAGGCAGACACACTCTCTGTAGGGCTGCTGTGAGGCGTCTGAGCCTGCAGCTCTGCCACTGTGGCCTTCAGGACGGTGAAGGTGAGGGGTTTACGGGCCTTCTCCAGCTTACGCTTCTTACAGGGCGGAGACTGAAGAGACACATATTCATTGCTTTAAAGTGTTATTAGGTTATAGGTAACTCCACAGTTGCCACATTTAAAACAGAATACAAAAGACCAGATTTTGTAAATAATTGCTAAAACTTCACCAATGTTGATGATGGAAGTTTGGTATTAAAAAAGACCGATGTGCTTTCTCAGCCCATTCAATCTGACTTAGCAGTTTCTAATATTAGTTGAAGTGTGGTATTTTATTAGAAGTAGGCAGTAGAGGGCAGCAAAACACTACATTCACCTGAGCCTTCAGCTATATATACAATGCTGCAGGTGTTGTACAGCTGTTTGTCTGTTCACTGAAGAAATGTAGTTTTGAGAGACAAGAACAATGGCTAACAAGAAACAAAAGTAACTGATATACTTTAAAATATCTAAAATACTATATTAAGATTAGTATTAAATAGATGAAATTTAAAAAGCTAAATTTACTAAAAGACAAACGTCAAAACCTAGAAATTTCACCAGCTGAATTAAGTTAAAGCTGAAATACCACAATTATAGTAAAATGTTAAGAAAAAATTATTTTAAAAAAATTACACAAAAAAATAGAAATACAAAAACGTTGAAAAATGTACATGTAATTATTTTAATTTAAATAAGTACTAAATATATATTCATTGACACATTCTGGCATAATATAATATAATAAAATATAATCAGAGTCTGAGGATGTGAAGAGCTCAGTGTGGAACGAGTGATTAATGATCTAACGTAAACACTGAATCATGTCTTACTGAGAAATACCACAACACTGAGTGCAAACACTCAAACACACACAGAGTGCAAACACTCAAACACACACATTGTGCAAACACTCAAACACACACAGAGTGCAAACACTCAAACACTCAAAAACACACACACACACACACACACACACACACACACACACACACACACACACACACACACAGCGTGTCATATTTGACTTCTCCGGCTCTCATCACATCTGATTCAGGAGTGAGACAAACAGAGTCGCTCTTTCTCCTCTGCTAACAGAGCATCTGTTGTTCAGACTGAAAAACACACATCATGACTCATCACAAGCCAAAAACACACATACACACACAGCATGTTCACCCCTCATGTGAAATGCTCCTTTGTACACAGATTTATTGTGTGGTGGTTTTTAGTGTAATTCACTCAAAATGAAGAATTCTCCTTTATTATTATTATAATTACTACTGGTTTAATACTAATATAAGAAAGCCCGCAGCTAATCTAGCATCCATCATGGAATCATACTCACACCCCATTGCTTCTGTCTGGATATACAATATCTTTAGCACAGACTAGACTGCTCTTTACTATAGTCCTCATATTCAGATAAAGATATTAAGTAAATGTGAATTCGAGGCAGCATTATAATATAATATAATATAATATAATATAATATAATATAATATAATATAATATAATATAATATAATATAATATAATATAATATTTACCAGTTGTGGCTGGAAGGACCTCCACTGTGTAAAAAATATGAATAATTCACATTTATTTATTATTATTTTCACTGGTTTAATCCTAATATAAGAAAGCTCACAGCTAATCTGGCATCCATCATGGGATCATACTCAACAGCCCATTGCTTCTGTCTGGATATACAATAGCTTTAGCACAGACTAGACCACTCTTAACTATAGTCCTCATACTCAGATAAAGACATTAAGTCAATGGGATTTCGGGACAGTCAGCTAGTTATGGTGTCTGAAACACTGCTGGCTATGCAGTTTTTTATCACATGCTTAAAAATGGTTAACTTATGGTTTCACACAGGATCAACATCACGGGACACATTACTATTATTGTTATTGTTAAAGAGTTCTTAGCTGATAAAATAAGTAAGAAACCTGTTACGTTTAATCACCAATCTGACTACACAGTAATGATACTAATAATAATCTACTACTACTACTACTATCTAGTAATAGTATACCTCATTTTTACAATACAAACACTAGTGCAGGATTAATATATACTTGATTATCTTCATTTTTAGAACTGTAATATTATAATTATTATTAAGAAGGTCTTGCTGTTGTACTAGTATTCAATCTATGGCCATATAGAATAAAATAAAGTTTCAAATGATATTTTTAAGCCCTTCACTACATTATTTGTACTCTAATGTCTTGAATCTAATGTAATCATAGTTCATTTTCAGCCATTTAACACTAAAGGCGTTTCCCCATGCAGTGCAGCGACATTCTCCAACACAAGAGGGCGCCATTTTCTGACTTTACCTCAACCGATCTAAACTCTGCTAAGAATGACAAAATCCCATCCCAAACCAAAATATAACCTATTAACAACAACAAAAAACTAAATTTCAGACGATCATTGAAGAATAACTGTGTCCTATCTAAAGAATAAAGCGATGAATCCAAAAATATAATCAAACAACCTGCACCTTCATTTCAGACTGTCAAAAAATTCCCCCAAAAAAGCCAAGCTAAGAACATCTCCACCCATTTGTGATTTAATGGATGGAAACAGACCGACACGCACATCGATCCACTCCCTCTCCTTCTTAATTAATTTCTCTCAGTCTTAATCAGAGCGATGCACTGCTTTTATCCCTCTTCGCCGTGAATTACGACCCCCTCCGCTCTGTCCATTATTTATCCGCGACACATTTGCTCCAAGCAGATCCTAAACAGCGTCAGCTTTCAACACTGAGCCTCTTGATGTGTCTGAAGTGGTTTTGCTCAAATAAAAAAAGGCTTTGAGACTTCAGCTGAAAGGTCGTTATTCAATTATTGAAGACGAGTGGCGATGGGGGTGATCAGATCCTGACGATTGGGCTCTTCCTGTCCTGCTTTACTCTTCTCCGCCAGTGAGGATGACCTCTGACCCCTGCGCCTCTCTAAATCCACTGCTTCAACAGCCTCATATCCCGGGCACGCTTTCAGCACTGCAGGGGCCTTTTCAAACCACAGCTTTTTTGTCTGAGTCTTGGCTGTACCCCCTGTCTATCCTGCAATGCATTTTAGGTCTGGATTGAAGATCTGTCTGTCAGTGAGATTGATCTGGCTTCTGTGCGCTTGGCTAATAGGGCTCAGCTGGATTCACAGAGGAAGAATGGGCACAGGAAGTGGAAAACTGAGTAAAACACCAATGGTAGTGAGTGCAGAACACAGTTCAAAAGGATGTGGGATGTCATCCATAGGAGCAGACTGATGTGATGTGGAAAGCAAAATCCAGTCTTTAAATGTTCTCTCATGTCATGGAATTTCGTACATTTTTGCATGAGTAAAATAAAAGTGGTGTGTACACCAGATCAGCTTGTGGTGTGTATTAAAGGGCACCTCTGATGAAAATCATCTTTTGTACGTTGTTTGGACAGAACTGTGTGTAGGTATGGGGTGTCCACAGTCATAATGAACACAACAAGTCTCTTTAAAATTTCCTGACGTTCAAATGGGATCCAAATCTCTCAAATCTTAAGACAGACCGCAACGTGACATAGGAGTGCAGTTTCCGACTCACCGATTTGATTGAAAGATGAGTATTATCATGTCTCCGTAGTAACGCATATAATCATATCACAAAGACAGGACATGCGCAAAGCAAAAATAACAGATCTGTTGAGCGCTCTGTGATCATCAATCATTATCAAATGTGATCAAGAATGAGTTTTACAAGTTTAAATGTTTGTAATGAATTACACCGATTTTACAGTCTTCATCACCATCAGCCAACTGTCAGTACAATTGTAAAAGAAGACGATTCGATCCCGGTTTGTGAACGTTAAATCATGTTTGATTCATATATTAACAGATATCCATATAGCAGTGGAGATTAACGTGTATCCTGTCACATTTGCCATGCAAAAAACAAATGCAAATTTTGTGTTTGTGCGTGAACTATGTTGCGTGCGTGAACAGCATTGTATGCAACTCATCATTGCAGAAAGGCTTGAATTAACTACACAACAAATACAAGAAATTCTCATTGGGAAAGTTCTTACTCTAGTATTTCTCACAAACATTACATGACATCTGCTTCCTTCATTTCTGTCACTGTGCTTCTTATCAGACGGAGGCACATTGACAGGCATGTGGGAACGGTGGGTTGGGAAAACTAGCATTAAGAACACAAGCAAAAAAAACAGCAACAATGTGTTTGGAGCAGTAAATTCCAATATTCTGAAAAATAAGTAATTTGATGGGTGTTTTGAGCTGAAACTGAACAGACACATTCTGGAGACACAAAAGACTTATCCTAAATCTTTAATAAGGGGTAAAATGGGTGTCCTTTAAATTGCAAAATGTCTTTTTGAATGATTGGTGGGGTTTCATTTAAAATACACATGAAAAGTGAAATGTTTGACTTTTTTTTTTTTTTTTTTTGTGCCTGTTCTCTTACAATATGAGAACTAGAACACAAGCTCTCTGGAGTCAGAATTCAGTGAAACATGATTAAAATGAAAATCTAATTCTCCTCCCAAAATTACATAAACACACAAAAATAAATAAATAAATAAATAAATAAAGCAGAATTTCTAAAAATAATTAAATAAATAAATACAATTTTCAGAAATTCTACTTGATTTTTTGTGTATGTAAAATTTTTATTTTCGAAAATAAAAAAGGGAATTTAGAAATTATAAATATAATTAATTATAATATGAATTAAAACAGAATATGAGAAATAATATTTCGATTATTTTATAGAATCTTATGTTGTTGTTTTTAAACGCATGGTTTGAAATGGAGTCTACACATAAAATGGATTTTACAGCATGTGAAAATATTTATGAAACTGTAAAGAAAACAAAAAGAGTGATGTTATTTCCAGATTCTCTAATATATTTGTAAAATGTACAAGTAATGTCTAATTGAAAATCATTTCTACATATTTGTTTTTCTTGCATCCAGATGTAGACGTGTCTGTGCAGTTCTAGAGGTCTGCTGTATGCGGGCTGAGGGTGGAGAGTCTCAGACAGATATGTAGGCCAATCTTTCTGCTCAAGTGCTCGTGGGGAAAAAGGCATCTGGGAGCAGGGGAATTCTTCAGAAAGACCATAACAAATCATCCTGCCACCCCTCAACCCTCTCCCCCTTTACAGCTCTGTTTGCCCTCTGCAGTGCGTGACTGTGTGGCAGCGGCAGCTCGTCTGGGCAACTGTTGCCATGAAGGAGCCTTAGGAAGCAGGTCAAGTGTGTCTGATGGAATGGGCTGGAGATGCATTATTGAAAAGTCTGAGTGAATATTCAGCAGGTGTTGCTTTCCCACACACAAGCACATCAAACACACTGGGCTACAGGGGTTGTGTGAGGACTAGCAGACTTAAAACTGACTCTAAAATACAGACCTATTCATATACAACAGTTAAAAGACACAGGGCAGGTCGAAAAAAGGAAAAGGTCTAGATATGATGCACATTAAATGTTTTATGAACTACTTAAACTTCTCCTCAGACAGCCTTTCTAAACATTAAACATCAACTCGTACAAAGTATTTATTAGTTTATATAATATTAACATGTGCTAGAAACATGCTAGCAATAGACCAATTTAATCAAATATGCTAATGTTAGACAAATAATTATGATAGCACGTTAACCATACTAGTTACGTTCTAAACGTGTTTGAAACACCAGGCTAATTATGCTAACAATATGTTAAACTTGTTATAAAATATAATGCTAGCAAAATGATAAACATGAAAACAACATGCTAATATATTTAACACTGTACTGTTAATCATGTTAGAAGCATGTTAACTGCATTCTACTAATAATGTTATTGCTATAGCAGAATGTTAGCAATGAGCTAAAACTTGCAACATGTTGAAACATACTACCAATAGTTAACAATGTACTAAAAACATTATATTAACATGTTAGCATACTAATAACATTCTAAAACATGTTAACCACATGCTACCGAGAAGCCAGTACCAAAACATGATAGCAATGTGCTAAAGCAGGCTAAACAAACTAAGAACCTGTTAAGACGCTGCACTAAATATAATGCTATAAAATATTAACAAACTGTCACGTTTAGCGTGATCAAAACAATAGCAAAATGGGAACAAAAAGATTGTGGATTCAAGTGCAGATTTAATAGATATATAGTGCAGAAAACAGTGACAAAAATCCAAAATATCAAAATACAAAGTAACAAATAAACAACAAAACAAGAAACGAGACAGATAAACACGAACTAGACTTTGGCAAACTACGAGGCAAGATCAGGAACAACAACAAACTTACTGGGAGCAGGAAGACAAACGACGCGATACAAAACAGAGGTGAAATGGTAGTATAAATAGTCCATATAATCAACGGTAACACAAAACAGATGAGATGATGGGTCAGTGTAAGTGTTCCGGTGTATGCGCGTGGTATGTATGGGAATGTAGTTCTTTCCTAGGATGCTGTAGTGCCTACAAAGTCGTAGTGCACTACAGCGCTCTCAGGTGGTCACTGACGGATGTGACACAAACATACAAGCCAAATGCTAAAACCTGCTAACAATGTGTGCTAGCAACGAGCTAAAACATGCAGCAAACATGTTAATAACATGTTAAAAAATACTAGCAATAGTTAGCAATTTACTAAAACATTATAGCAACATGTTAGTAATCCATGAACATGTTAGCATGCTAATAGCATTCTAAAATGTGTTAAATGCATGCTAGCAATAAACCATTACTAAATCATGTTAGCAATGTGCTAAAACATGCTAGAAACAAGCTAGAAACCTGTTGAAACTGTACGATAAATAATGCTATAAACATAAACATACAAACAAAGTTCTAGTAGCTAGCAATCTAGTAAAATATAATTTTTTTACTTTTTTTAACTATTCATAAGAAAAACAGCACATTCTGTCTGAAAGGCCTGTACTGCAGGAAATGATCAATACTTACAGGTACAGGTACGTCATCATAGAAACTCCAGGCGAGGGCCCAGCGCATGGTCCGCCCTTGACAGAACTCTGTGTGTGTTACTTTAGCAACCTATAAAACAACAAAAGATTCAGACTCAAAGTAAGCGCCGTCATAGAAAAATCGCAAAAAGGATTATACTAGGATTCATTACTAAGAATATGAGTGATGACAATGATATGTACAGGGAACGACAAAAGTTATATGCTCAAGCAAATATGCTGGTGAGAAAGTTTTAGTGTTCGCAGCAGGTTAAGGTAAACCTCTTTAGAACTCATTGCAGTTCTTTTTACACAGCTCCTCTGAGATATCATTTTAAATAAGAGGGTCTCCATAAGCTGCAGGTTGCATACAATGATTGTATAAGGATTCTTCTTGAAAAACATAGATGCTGTAGTGCAAGTGAATTATTTTGTGAGGTAAGGGGCCGATCACACTGAACGCCCATTTACGTTCCAAAAACTGAAGGTGCGCCAGTCGTTTTTGTTGCACAAGGTCTTTTTTGTTGACAAGAAAAAAAGGAAATATAAAATAAAGAGAACATTAAAAAACAACATTATTAAAAAATTATTAATATTTGCTTTCTAAAACAATCACTTTTAGAAATTAATTGCGACTGTAATGCCAAATAATCATATAATTTCTACAATGCTTTCTGCCCAGACACATTGACTAAAAAAAAAGAAAGGAATAAAATGGAAAGATGTTTTAGCATAATTTATTCACAGCAAGCACAATGCAACAACAAAGACTTCAAATATAGTCTATATTTGAAAACTAGGATGCACATATTGACTACATACATCAATAATCATCCACTACTACAGACTGTCTTAACTGAATGGTATCTGTGTGGTAGACATAGACATAATTTTTGGTTCATAAAAATGATAGATATCTAAATCGAGTAGGACCCTAATGCACACAGAAAGAACAAAGCTGCATTACACCTACATTGACTTGATGGTTAAAATCCCCTTTGTCTTTGACTACTGATATGTGTGTGTGTCTGTGTGGAAACTACGACCAACACCAGACGTACCCAGAATTCTTAAGCACCCTCAGCCCTGTCATTCGCACAGTAGGGAGTGTGTTTTAACAGACATATATGTCGGTGTTAGGGGTGAACTGTAGGGTGAAATCAAATCCCATTGCCTTCAGTAAAAAACACCACCCTGAGTTTGACCTCAGCAGGCAGAGGGCGTTCAAACAGCAGATAAAAGGACAGAAAAAGGAGATGGAAAAGGAGAAAAAGAAGCTCATTTGCATATTAATAAGATCCAGGGTTTCGGGAGGACACCGGCCAGGAGGACAATGACTCTAACGAGGGCTGACGGGACGACGACGCCTTCAGATGAACCAAAGCACACTGACTGACACCAGACTAATAACCTGTGAGCACAGCGAATGTCTTTCATTCACAGATATCACAGCGTTCTGACTGTACGGACACAGCCTGAGCTAATGGGGAGCGCCTGCTAATGATGCCTAATCAACAACAAATGAAATCTAGCCCATTAGCGCTCCCTGTCGTGGGGCAGTTTTATGCTACGCTAGTGAAGCTCATTAAGATCAATTAACCTAAAGCCAGGGGGAAACGCCCACTCATTTATCTAGAAAGATCCGAAAGGAGAACCGAGATGCCTGATATATTGGTGTTATACAAGTTAGTGTTTTATTTATCAGATATTTTATTGTGTGCATTCATTTGCTAATGTCTAATTATAACTTATTTTATACATATGAATATATAAATTTACAGCTTTACTAATGAAATTAATAGTTTTGATTTTGATTTTTATCAGTTTTTTTTATTAATTAATTTTTTTTTTATATTTTTTTCGGGGTTTTCACCTTTATTGGATAGGAAAGTGGAGAGAATTCACAGGAAAGCTTGGGGAGCAGAGAGAGGGGAGGGGTCGGAATGGTCAATACACTACCTCAGGGGTTTTCAAACTGGGGGCCGCCCGATGGCGCTAGGGGGGCCGCAAAAATTTTTAGATAAGGGGTAATCTATGGGCCCACATGGATGAATTTTGTGTCCCGCATAATTCTGAAGGTTAATATATTTTTTATTATAATTTGAGCTCAAAAGTACTGCAAAAATTAAGCTTTATGGTTATGTCATTTAAATGCAGTTGACACTTTCGTAAAACAGGAAAAGAAGCGCAGCGGCCCGCCTCTGTGCACGGGGACTTTTATTGAATAAGCGCTAATGGCCAGCCGCTTCCTGTGATTTTTGTCGCTTGTCTGCTGCACCTGACGGCGTTTACCTTTCACTTACGCTTACCTCTTTTACGCTAAACAACTAAATGAATGCTCAGGTCTATTTACTGACAATATTTCAGTTAAAATACATGATCAATAAGAACATTATCGGAGGCTGAAAGCACTACCCTGTATATGGCTTGCGTTCCTAAGTAATCGATCAGCTGGGTGATGCGGAGTGCGCGCCTCTCTGCGCAGGCTTCACTCATAGGAAACAAATATCATTTTAAAGACACGGCACAACATTGCACCTCATCCACAGTGCGACAGGCTTTACACTTTGCATTGTACAAATATCAGACGGTCCTCTTTGCAGCATGGCAAACAAACATATTAAAATTGTAAAGCAAAAAGTGCTGCAATAACAATGAATGGAGCTGTCATCACATCAGCGAGTTCTCAGTTTTACTCCTGTTACACTAATGACAGCTGGATGAGCTCTGCAGTGGACCTCTTACTCACATTGGTTCATAACTGGATGATTAAAAAAAACTAAATTGTATACACCCTGAATAAAACCACTATAACCTATAAAAATTATAATGTATCTGTTTGTGTTATGTTATAGGGTTAATTAATTATTAAATATTAAAATGTATTAGTGCTCTGTATTTAATGGAGCTCAACATATCTGATCAAATTTTAATACTCTGAATATAAATGCATTTTTTCAAGATGTTCCACTTTTTCCCATATTTATTTGTGTAACTAATTTAAATGTAATGTTCAGTATTATTATTAATAGAACAAACTGGTATGAACATTTTAAAGTCAGCAAAGCTTCTAAAATTATGCAAAGTAAAATTTGTGGCTCTTTGAACTTGAATACCCAATTCTAGATTGCATTTAGGAAATTATTTTTTATCAGTGTAAATCAGGATTGTCGACTTGAGTAAATTATAATGTGCACAAAAAAAAGGAATAAAAATAAACAAAACACACTGAACCACTACAGCCTCCATTGTAGTATTGCTAGTTACAACAGTACAGTTAACTGTTAACAGGCTGATGAATGACAAAACTCTTTAAAACTTTAAAGCTTTAAATCTTTGGATACATTTAGACTCTCAGCTGTAAGGGTAAATACAGAAGAGTCTAGCTGTGCATAGGCAGAGAAAAAGCATAAAAATGGCATAAAAAACTGTAAAGTGACGACTCGTACACAAAATATGGCTTGATGGAATCCAGTGAGAGCAGACCACAATAAACACTGCGCATGAAGATTTGATCAATAGATTGAAGCACTGAAACCATGTCAACTCAACTAATATCTTACAAAAATTAATCCAGATAATGAATAATATAAATTTATTGAATAATATATAATAATATAAATGTATTGAATAATACAATTTTAAAAAATTAAGTACAGTTGTTAATTTGAGGGGGTGGCGTCATTTTTATTTTTTGGGGGTCCCCGAAAGAATTCGCCCTACACAAAGGGGCCCTCAGCTGAAAAAGTTTGAAAACCCCTGCACTACCTGACAAAAGGTCTTGTCGCCTCATGAAGTTTTAGGAACAAAAAATAATAACTTAATTTCTGTTTTTTCGTTTGGTATCAGAAGTGGCTTATAGATTACGCTTATTTTACCAAAATAAAATATGATCATGCCTTGAATTATAATTATTTAATTAGGACAGTAAGGTCTGACTTTGCTTAGACAAAAGTCTTATCACTTAACAGAATCAATATACAGTAGGGTTGGGCATCTAAGCTATAATGCTGATCCGATACGCATCTCGATACAAAGAATACGATCCGATATATTAGCGATACATTTGTGACATATTGCGATGCAACACGATACGATTCACACCCATATCACGATACAATGCGATAATTCAGCACTAACTAATTAAATCAAGTTTATGAGATGATGTGAAAGAGGATGCTGTGCCATTGAATGAGTTTGATTATTTATTAACCAAGCAAAACCAAGACTTTTTTTACAAACTGGCTTTTCTCTCAGAGCCAGAGTGTCAGTTTACAGTAGAGGGCCATTTCAGAACCTATAGCACATATTATTTAAGTATTTTCAAGATAAACAGAATGTATAAGTGCAATATATATTATAAATGTATATATTTGCACTCTTTCAACATAAAGGTTTAGCATTGCACAAGAATTGTTATTTAACTTTTCAACTATGAAAACAAGTTTTACAAAGATATATTTTGCCACTGAATATTCAAAACTTAAGGTCGTGAACTAGCAGTGTTATGCTGCTTTGAAACATCACTGTCACTGTAAACAACAGGCTAATAAAAATATAACAAACCAGCAATCTTCTTGCTGTGAGGTGGTCAAACTACCCACTGTGCCACCGTGACACCCATTATTTTTATCATTATTATTATTAATATTATTATTATTATAATTAAATAAAAATTAACAGGAGGAGGTGTTTAAAACCTTCATTCTCCGTGACACTAGGCTGAATATCTTTGCAGATGAACAATGCAATAACATCCGTTATTGGCGTAGAGCGCACAAAACTGTTGCGCATGGAAAAAAACTCGCAATGCTGTTCTCACCACTTTTGGAGCTGGTAGCTCCAGTTGAAGCAGTGCAGGAAGCCGGGGATGCAGGAACACTGGAAGATGCTTTCACAACAACACCGTGGCGCCGCTTCAAGTGAGATTTCAGATTAGTCGTACTGCCCGCGTATTTACAGATGCGCGGCACATTTTGCAAATTGCATCTGTCCTGTCATGTCGTCCATCCTTAAATACATAATGTTGCCATACTTTAGATTTAAAACTCAGTGGGGAATAAAATGTTCGTTTTGCTTCTCGCGCTTTCTGAGGGCGCACCACTAGCTTCATCCGCACACCTGATACACTGAGCTGTAGTGTAAGTGTACACATCCGCAAATCCGTTGCTAAGGCATACTTTATGTAGGTCGATTAAATTATGCGCCAAAAACAGGTTGACAACACTTGCTAATAAATAAAAAATACATTCTATATTAAAAATATAAGCTGTATCTTGGAAAAACCGATGCATCTCGCAAAAACCGATGCATCTCGATTTGCTTCTAAAATTTCATTCATCCTCTGCTGCTCTACCGATGCACTCGCATCGTGCACGCGCATGACCACGTATCGATACATATCGATTAATCTTCCCATCCCTAATATACAGCATAGAATACAAAAGTCATGGTGCAGTGGTAAAAAATATATTATTGTGCATGACTCCCATGAGCTTGGAGGACTGCATCCATGCTTAATACTTATTAATAAAGTCATCTAGAATAGCAAAGAAAGTGTTCTTGCAGGACTTTCAGAGTTTAGCAGGATTTTTTGGATTCATCTTCAATGCCTCCTCCTTCATTTTACCCCAGGCATGCTCAAAAATGTTTATTTCTGGTGACTGGGCTGGCCAATCCTGGAGCACCTTGACCTTCTTTGCTTTCAGGAACTTTGACGTGGAAGCTAAAGTATGAATAGGAGAGCTATCCTGCAGAAGAATTTGCCCTCTCCTTTGGTTTGTAATGTAATGGGCAGCACAAATGTCTTGATACCTCAGGCTGTTGCCATCCAGTCTGCAGATATCTTGCACGCCCCCATACTGAATGTAACCCCAAACCATGACTTTTCCTTCACCAAACTTGACAGATTTCTTTGAGAATATTGGTTCCATGTGGGTTCCATAGGTTTTCTGCAGTATTTATGATGATTGGGATGCAGTTCAACAGATGATTCATCGAAAAAAATCAACCTTCTGCCACTTTTCTAAATGATCAACTAGAAGTCCAGTTATTATTTGTTAATCTTACAACTGGGTTCGACGACAAGACTTTTTTCAGGTGGTGTACTTGTATACTATATGCCATGTAGTGAGAAATTATACATTTACTCGTGACATTTAAAAGTATTTTTAATTCCATTCATTTATGTTTTCACAAAAACAGTTTTGCATTTTTATGCCAAGCATTCCGTTATAAGACATACAAGCTTCATTTTAATACTAGTCGATTCATAAATGACTGAATTTAGGTTTATTTATTTATTTGCAGACAATAGTATAGAATTTTAATTTTAGCCATACGCGTATACAAGCATTTAATGGTTATATCAGACAAAACATTTTATATGAATCCAATTATAAATTATATAATGGTGGCATTAAAAACTGCACCATTTATAACACTTATTTTAATAAGTCATATTACAACTATTGAAAAGGTGGCATTTAAGAACTATTAAAACTGTCAAATTTGAAGATTGACAGCACTTGATTGTTGCCTATTTGTATTTATCAGACATAATTTATTTTAATATCAGTCCAACTATAAATAATAAACTAGTATCATTTAAAACTGATGATTTCTTTGTTATAGCTTAATCCTTAAAAAAACAAAACAAGAAAAAAGTGATCTAGTCATTTAAAAACTCACTCCTTGTTTCCGCAGCTCATCTTTCAAAGGAGCCAGACTACACTTCTTTCCCAGCATGCAACTGTACCACCTGAAAACAGAAGAAAAGGGTCTGTGAAAGCATCAGTCTGGACAGCTGATCCACAAGAGCACATCAAACACACTGCAGGACATGAATATGGTCTCGCTCTGTGGGAACGGTCAGCTGGGCTACTCTTCATATATTTTTTTAAAATATGAAGCTCGATGTTTAATTAAAAACCCTACCTTGACAGGGAGCTTTGAAGCTGCACGTGAGACAAAAATCAATGCATTTTCAGCATTATAAAAAAGATGAGGCTTCATCCATCAGAGGGTGGGAGGAAAACACAGTCTATGCATAATTGATTGGTGCTCAACTCTTCATTTTCTAGTTCTTCTGCTTTCCAAATTGGGAGAATCTTGCATTTAATCACTGAAGAATATCTTAAAAGGTCAATGCGAGGCAATAACAACCCATTTTATGTCACTAATGGGACATATTTATGAGTCAAACATGATATTTAATGAATAAATGTAGGCCAAGACTTGATTTTATCCACTGGGAAATCGAACAAATTGTGGGTGTTGCATGTAAGAGCCAGACTTAAGCAAACGCGTTCGTTATGGCAGACAGACGGCACACATTTTTAATGAGGATTTTCAAGCAGGAACTGTTGGCTGAAGGTCAAGTTGACTTTCAAGAGTTTTGTGATGGATCCTGATGGTAACATTTTTCAAATCTATCCTGTGCTTAAATTGCAATTAACTTGCATCGCAAACTCTGTACAGTTGAAGTCAGAACTATTAGCCCCCCTGAATATATTTTATCCCAATGTCTGTAAAGAAGATTTTTCTTAGCACATTTTTATACATAATAGTTTTAATAACAAACTTCTAATAACTGATTTCTTTTATCTTTCTCATGATGACAGTACATACCCTTTTACTTAATACTTTAAGATACTAGCATTTAGCTTAAAGTAACATTTGAAGGCTTAACTAAGTTAACTAGGTTTATTAGGAAAGTCTGTGTATAATTATGGTTTTTGTAGACAATCGATAAAAAATATTGCTTAAAGGTGCAGTAGGTGATTGTCTTTAGAAACATTTTTGTTGTGCTGGTAGAAAATCTCTTCACATTCTAATAGGAAAGATAAAAGTAAATTATATAAATATATTTATATAAATCTTTATAACTTGGGTAAGGCACAAGACTAAAAAAAGTTCATTAAATTAAATAATGTTAGGCCGATAATTCCCATAATTCTGATAAGTACCTCAAACTGTCTGTCAGAAAATGTATAGCTGTACATGTGCACACAAGACAATTACAGTTGCAGTAAAAACAAATGCTGAATCAAAACTTTTTAAAATCCTGAATCAATATTGGAGTTACACTTGCACGCTGGAGGATGGATGACACCATGGCTGAAGTATTTCTTTTAGACAGGTAATGTTATGTTTTAAAACTATTTTAGCTTCATGCAAAGCTGATGTAGATTGTGTTTTATGAATGGGTTATATGCACAGAAGTGTTGTTCAGCCACTGAAATCTTCCGGTGAAAGACTGATGTGACCATTTTCAATTTGAGGGGCCTTTTACAGCATCAATAATGTATATTTTTATCTAGTTTAACAACAAAACATCAGTAAATAACGCTATTCCGCCTAGCCTGCTTTACTGAGGTGAAGTTGCTTTTATATTCACATTGGGTTATTTTTAAACAAGACAACCTGTGACGAGCTCCTATACTGTTTACTATGCTATTCGCTCGCTCATGTAAGTATGGCTTAGTAATAAGTATAATTCCTGCATGCCGCCGGCCAACCACTAACTACATTTCCAACTGGCGAATGACATGAGCTAGTGGGTTGTCTCCTGTCATGATGCGGTGCGCGCGTTCATAATTTCAAGAGGCGTGGCTTTAGATGACAGAGGAGGGACTGTGTTTCAAAGATATTATGCTAAGTAGGGGTGTAACGATTTATCGTTGTACGATTTATTGCGATGCAAAAATGTCACAATATACATGCATATTGTTTTTGAGGTATCAAAACAATATGCATGACGATTTTATTACGATATGATGTCCGTTTTCTCTTATTAGTTGAGCTGTTTACACGTGAGCTACGTTCCACCTGCTGTCGCACGTGAGTTCAGATTGCAGCAGCAGTAATGTTAGCAGACCAAAATGAGTGGAGCTGAAATAGAGGATGGCCCATCCTCTCAAAATCAGACGTCTGGCAACATGTCAGTTGTACAGTCATTGCTTTAGACTCGTCCGCTTTTTGACACGCATACTGGGTCAAACATCCTAAGTTTTAAAGTCTTCACAGTGATTTACATACTTTGCACAGCGACATGCATACCTACTAATGGTGTTGAAAGAGTCACACACTTTATTTATAAGGTACAATTCACCCTAAAATATCATTCTGTCTTCATATAATGATGTATTGGCGGCCGCAAAATCCCACATGACGTGAGCTGTTACTACAGAGGGCGGAATATGATAGACGCGCGCGTATGGCAAGCCGTTTTAGCATTTAAACCTTTGTTCTGACTATCCATAAATACATTTAGAGATATCTCTAATTATATTTTGACTAGTCATAATTATAATTCGACTAGTTAGAATAACAATTAGAGATATCTGCAATTACAATTGTACTAGTACGAAATCAGATTGGAGATATCTGCAAATATATTATGACTAGTCATATTCCTCCATTGACTTCCATTGAAAAATATTTGCAGATATCTCTAAATGAGTTTTGACTAGTCACAATTGTAATTAGAGATATCTCTAAATGAATTTAATTAAATATGAATTAAATACCTGGAAATATGGATTTTTTTTTGCACACACAAAAACGCAAGTGACCAAGCAAAGCCTTAAGCGCTTACTGTTAAATTCAATGGAATAGAAAGCTTTTTTTTGTACCTTTACTTAAATTGTTCCTTAATTTTGTCTTATTTTCCAAAAAAATAAAATAAATAAAAATGTTATTAAAATTGAAATTAAAATTGTTTTATTTTCCAGAGACAGGCCTGTTTAATTTATTTTCTTAAAGAAATACATAAAAAATAGTTTACTTGGTAAAATTTGCATTTCAGTTTAATTTTCAATTTTTATTCCAAATATCTTGATACATATTGAATCGTGAACATTATATCGTGATACACATCGTATCGTGAGTGTATCATTACACCCCTAATGCTAAGCGCTAAGCATTTTGGCAGATCACCTACTGCACCTTTAAGGGGGCTAATAATATTGACCTTAAATGGGTTTTAAAAATTTAAAACTGCTTTTATTCTATCCTAAAAAAACAAATAAGACTTTCTCTAGAAGAAAATTATTATAAGAAGTACTGTGAAAAATTCCTTGTTCTGTTAAATATCATTTGGGAAATATTTAAAAAAAGAAAAAAAATTACACACACACGCACGCACGCACGTAAATATCTATAATTTCCGATTTTTTATTATTAAAATTATTTACAAATATTTACAATACTAAACAGCATTCAAAAAACTAAAAATCTTTTAGTTTCTGTTAATCATTTAGTCTCTTCTTTAATCTGAGACTAAATCGATTATATGCATTTAACATGATCTTGTGAAAGCAAAATGCTTTAGGCTAAACTGAAAAAAATAACTGGGTTTGGGTCATCAAGGGGGAATCTACCATCAGAACAAGGGAGTGTGTAGCTGAACACACATTGCACCATATATGGAGCCTCAGGGGCCTGACAATCATTTCATTTTGTCAAATGAAATATTAAAGAGGCCTAATATCCACACATGCTCTGTGAAGTGGAGTGGAGGGAGGTTGCGTGGCACATGGTGCGATGGGTTAATAACAGGGTACTCCAGCATCTATCACCACTTGAAAAGGGCTGTTTATTATGCTTTCTCTTCAGTTGTCAGACCCTAAGGAGGAAGTAGTAACAATTACACTCTCAATGGCACAGATTGTCTGGCATAAGGAAAAAAAATCTGAGTTGTATTTAGGCTGTAAGTGAGACAGGAGGAGCTGCAGGAAGACTGGCAGTAATTACAGATGGAGTGGCTGGAGAGGAAGAGGCAGCTCAGAGGGCCAATCAGAGCGCCTGGCTAGATCTATGGACACCTGCCGACACACACACATACACTGTTTTTACTACAGCAGGCTTGCATAGTCTGAGCCCTAAAGAGAGGAAGCTTGAAGCACAGTGAGATGGAGAAGCGCCCAGATTAACCCATGGACACCCAATAATTCACAACTAAAGCAGAAGATTGTGTATTTCCTAAAAAATATGTTGCATCTGACTACTTGAACCAGTTCAGAATTGCATTGTTGAGAAAAAACAGTCACTTGTCTGTAAGCCCCATTCTACATTTTTATTCATGGGGAAGATCTAAATAATTATTATTAAACTATATTTTATAAATGATTTTGGCTGATTTATACCAATAATGAATAAATAAATATGACATTAAAACCACCAGTAGGTGGCAGCAAGTCCTGGGTTTATAGAGTGATTCACTGAATCGTTCATCCAAAGGATTAATTTAAACCAGCTGATTGATTCGATTAGAAATAAAGCACATGGCTGGTTGATTTCTTTCAAAAGAATTTAATAAACAGGACACATTTTTCCATTTAAATGCCCTACTTTTCTATTGTTTTTCTATGTAAATGCCCTTGAAAGATGTGCGAGTTGATTACGGTTGTGTCTTTTGCAGCATCTAGCACATAAGTGCATTGCTTTTAAGAAGCTGTGTCAAATTCAAAGTATTTTAGGTTTTACATGCACTCATGTCAGTTCCTAAGCAGTGGACCAATCAGAAGAACTCAGAGGCCAGGCAAGCATTGCAAGCTTTTGTTTACAATTGGTTGTTTTCAAATTACGTCATTGATGATGCACAAGACTGGAGGGTAGGAAGTGATTCCTCTACATAGGAATCACTATCAGAACATCAAAATGTTTATGTTTTATGTTGTTTAGAATTATTTAAATTTTCCAAAATACGAAATGCCGAATGCTCTGGCTGCCCTGGCGACAACGCTGTCTGCCTTCAGCTTTTAAAAATTAGCAACATTGATCTCATATTTAAAGGGGCCATTGCAGAATCACATTCCTGCATAAAACATGTTTTCTAGCATGAAAATGTTGTGCACTTCTTATCAGACTCATTTAACAACGGAAGATCAAGTTGCGTGTGGTGTGGCTTGGCTCCACTTAATTATCCAATGTCCATATGTCTGAAATATCCTGAAGCAGCAATACTCTTTTGTACTGTTGCATGAGATTCCCACTTTTTCAAAGATCAATATATATAACATTAATGCACATCAGTAACTTGCCAGTAACTTATTTAATGCATGTTCATGTAAGAAAACATTGTAAATATTGGAAATCTGGCGACCGCAATAATCAAACGCTTGGGAACAACTGTGGTCGGAACCAAAGTTCACCATGACAGTGCTTTCTGAACTCCTCTAAAGTGGTGGACTTCAAAATTCTGATTGCTTGCCGCTGAATCACGTCATAGTTCATTACCATAAAGTTAACTTGATTTCAACTCTCCTCGACACCCACACCGGCGAAGATGCGCCGCGCTGCTCCTCGCCGCTTATTGCCGCCGGCTCTCAATGAAAATTAATGACTTCCAGCTACTTTGACGCTCTCGTCGCTTTCGGTGTGAACATACGATTAGTAATTACTAGACTTAAAAACGTATGTGCTGTATGAATGTGTGAAGTATGAATGAAATTCAGACATAATACATTTCACCATGTTACTACTGTCACATAACCAACCAAAATCTGTTGTGTCTCCCCTTTGGTGTAGTCTCATGGGACAGTAAAATACCCACTGAACGCACACTTCAGAATGTCGAGAAGCTTAGTGATCACTAAATAATAAAGTGCTTTCACACTACTTTAATGCTTTACTTAAAAGACGTTAAATTAAAACTTTGTACTTTTGCTGAAGTGATATTTTATTAGGGTCCCTGTGCTTTAATTAAGTACTTGATTTTAGTCATTTATCCATCACTGAAAGAAAACTTATTGTAATTCTGAAAACATGTCATTGTAATCCAGTAAACAGGAAAATATACTGTTAAACTGTGCAACAGTACGCTCACAAACGCACAGCGCTGCAGTTCTCTTGTGGTTGAGCTCATGTCATGGTTAAGCAGGCCTCATGTGGTCTTCTTCACTCCAGCGCTCCTCTGACAGTCCTGGCACATTGGGGCTCCCGTCTGCCCCAGTCACACACACACACACACACACAGCTGCTCCCGTCGGGCACACCGGATACCACCCCGGGTCATTATTTACTTTGCCTGTCAATTAATTACGCAAACTCTGTATGACAGATCCATCCCAGCACCCATCTGCCCTGCCCCTTTTTGGCTCACTGAGTGTAAAACAGCTCCTCTGCAGATCGGGACATGTGCGCTTGTTTACTACCTGCTCATTACACTGCTCACAAGTCCTCATGTCTTACATCTGTGCCAAACTGATATATCAGTCTCTGTTTGGTCATATTAAGAGAGTTGGCAACACCTGATAAGTAAAAAGATTGTATGTATACTCCATATTTAACACAATTCCAGTCATTGGCTGCGATCGAAATCACATACTTCCATACTATGGTGCGCTAAAAACAGTATGCGAACAGAGTAGTATGTACGAATTCATAGTATTCAAAATAATTTGAGAGAAGTACAGGATAGCCTACTACTTCCGGCAAGATTCTGAAGAGCGCATCTTATGGACACTACGCTATCCCATGATGCACTACGAGAGAATTCATGAATGGGAGTAAAGTAATGCAGCTGACGTGGGTAGGTCACATGATCATGATAAATGGTGGATGTAGTACGATGGAGTTCCATTCATACTACTCACATTAATACTGTATAGAAGGTGCTTTTCTAACGTTTCTGTGGTAAATTTAAATCCATGTGGCACCTACTCAAGTAGTAGGCAATTAGGGTCGCAGCCAGGGTTTTACATTATGCATTAAACATGCAGTAAAACTATAAGCTTCAAGTTAAAACTACATGGTAAACACATAACATGTGTGGGTTTTAGTGCTGAGCAATGTCGAGCAATTTGACAACATATGACGTCTAATGTGAAACGTCGCAAAGCATGATGGCATCATCGTCAAACGCGATGGTATTTATTAGTAATTAATGAATTCATTACGAATGAATTATTTGTAGCCTACCGTTTCAACTACCTGACCGGCATGGTCTTTGTTTTACCCATAACCAAATCATAAATAAAGATAAGTTACACACAAATTAACACCTATCAAATCACCTTTTCCGTGGGACTCTGGCATGAATAGGCAGAGTGATCTGTGGCGTTATAATGGCGTCAACAAACTTGCTTTGTAAAAAAAAAAAGTTCACAAGCAACAGCAAACAACGGTATTTGAGGTTTTCTTTAAAATTACTAGGTACAAGCATGAAAGCGAAAGATTGAAGCAGTGTACTGACGCTGTGACACATTACCTAATAGACTCAAAAAACCAAAGAGTCATTAGATAGAGACAAGATTAATTAAATATGACATTTAATAACTATAGTGAGACGCAATCCAGCGGCACATCTTTGATAAACTGTCCGAAGTGCACTACTTTCTGGGGTTTTGTGCTCAAAGCACTCGCTGACTGCTGGAGCTCAGACGCAAGCATACACTGCAGCGCATGACAGAGTGTGTGTGTATGTGTGTGTATGTGTTTGTGTGTGTGAGAGTGTGTGGTCAAGTGATGTGTGTTTTAAGCGGTATAGTGTGGAAGGAGGGTTTTTCAGAAATGCTAGGTGAAAAGCCAGTGTGGATGTGGATTTTCCATTTCAAACTAAGACTAGAGTAAACAGGGCCTAAGTGTGTATTTTTCACGAACGGGTTGCTGCTTTGATGGGGGCAGGGCAGAGGGTCGCGATAGCGGCTCAGCATCGTGATATCTATCGGCCATCGTTGATGGACAACGTCATAATCTATCGACTCAATTCAAGTAGGTTTGAAACATTTTCATGCAGAAAAAAAAAGTCACATTTTTAAAATATTTTATATAAATAAAAAAACAACACATAAAAATCCACATAAAACAATAATTTACAAGTATTCCATGTATTATTTATATTTTTATAAACAATTAAAGCAAATATTAACATTACATTATTAAATATCTTTTAGTAATAACGTAAACATATACAATTACTCCATGTGTTGGATATGGCCTTTTTTTCTAAATATTTGCACTATAATATAATATAGCATAATATAATATAATATAATATAATATAATATAATATAACATTTTAAATGTAGAAATATTCCAGGTGACCATTTAATATTTCAACTGTATTTATACTTGCATTCATTTTATATCATGGAGGAAAATATCAGATTTAATATTATAAATATTAACATGAATATATTCTTTCAAATATTATATTGCTTGTGCATACAAAAATCGTGACATTGTAACAATATTTTAATAACTAACAAAAAACAATTAAATGTACAAATATTCCACATATTCCTCCACCTATTATATTTAATTAATTTCCATAATTACATAATATATAAAGTATTAGCAAAAACAAATACTAAAGTTGCATACAAAGACACTCAGTTATTAGATAATTATCTAAATTTAGTCAATTTCATCAAGTTGGAAAACAGAATTTCTTGCAGCTTAAGTTTAGTAAGATAAAAGAAATGTGCTGTGGGTCGAACATTTTGTAAACCTTTGCTAATTAATGGGGAGAAAGTTGAACAGGCGAGTTCTTTTAAATATTTAGGTGTGGAATTCAACTTTCAATTCTCTTTTGATAAACCCTCAGAAAATGTGTTTAAAAAGGATCAGCAGCGAATGAATCTGTTAAGAAAACTGAGAAGTTTTGATATTGAGAAGGACATTTTGATTGTCATATATAAATCCCTTATTTAACCTGTACTTACTTATAGCATTGTAGCCAGGTTTAACTCCCAAAAGAAACTTTTATAGTGGTAAACTATAAACGTAGTGAATAAAATAATTGGTAAGAGAAAAACACCCTTCACTGATTTATTTATAACAGCAAAAAAAAGAAAAACCTCCTTATTGTGGAAGACTCTTCCCATCCTTTACATGATTCCTTTAAAGTTACTTCCATCTGGTAGACGGTATATAATACAAGAAGACATTTAGTCCCACTGCCAATGTTTTTTTATAGGATTTTTTGAATAATTGTGTAAGTGTATTTATGTTTTGTTGTTGAGCGTGAGCCTATGTCTAAAGATAATTTTCTAACCCCTGTGGGATAGACAATAAAGTTTATTGAATTTGATTGAATTAAAATTAAAATTAAAACAGTGTTTCCTTCCAAACTTGTAAAACCAGTTTCAAGGCAATACATCACTGAATTTTTATATTTATATGTAATTGTGTGTGATTATTAGAGATATGCGAGTGACCTGAGCCTCTTCTTCAGCTGCAGACTGTCATGGATGATCCGTTTGACGAACTCCAGCTCTCCACCCTCTGCCATGATCTCAGTGACGCCCCCGGTGTTGATGGAGCTGGGTGGAGGTCTGCGCGAGTTCCTCGAGTTCACTCCCTGACGGATCAAACACAACAAATGCATCACCGCTATTGTCATGCGCACAAAAGGACAGACTATGCTGGAAAAGTGCCTGAGGGTTCAAACGCTGCAGCTGAATGTACCTTTGCTTCTAACTGGTTGGCGAAGAATGGAGGATTGCACATGCAGAAATCATAGACAATGGACTCTTCCTTCAGCGCATCCATCAGGAGAGTCTTCTGGGGGACTTTCACCACTGAAAAACGCACACATTTCTGTGCTTCAGTGGGTTAAATCGCAGAGAGAAAATGTCGAGCTCTTTTTCTGTAACGCTCGTACCTTTAATGAGCTCTGCCAGGTGGTTTTGTTCAACGTTTTTCTTTGCATAATTAAAGCAGATGTCATCCACTTCTGTGGCCAGGAAGAACCAGCCATTCATTGTGGCTCCTAGAAGGGGGTAAATACAGGAAGCTCCAGTACCTGCACAAAGATCAAAACACGTCACATTACAGGATTAAATGCTGTCTGTATTTTCTAAAATGACCAGAATAAATGAAAAGTTTCTAGTTAACGGGGATGAAAATTTATCTTGAAATATGACTTTATTTAATGATTTGATTGATGAATGTGCCTGTCAAAGAATTAGAATTTGAGATGCAATAAAACACAAATCTGAATGTGTATAGGTGCAACTCCAATACAAAAATAATTGTAGAGCATTTTAAAGTCTTTTCATAAATGTTTTAAAGGTCCCATGACCTTTAGGTCCCATGATTTTAGATGTTAGAATCAGTATTGTTAGTTTTTAAGATATCTATAAGCTAGTGTGCTCCAAAACAGTGACAAAATTCGAGTTAAGTGGATATCTGATAGAAACATAGAAAAAGCTTGTAGTTTGTCACTTTCGCCTAAATGGATCAACTAATTATTCACGTCACCTCATACAGTTTCTCATCAAATCTTGACCAATCAAATGCTCTCTAGTATCAGACATGTCCAGCCATTAAAGACACTTCTCATCTGCTTTTTGTTTTCACGTGCTTGAGCTCTAACACTCTCAATGGAAAAGTAGTAATAAAGCAAAATGCCATTGGCTGTTTTTAAAAAAGGGGAGGAGATACATTATGTCCCACCCTCTCTTCGTGTTTCAGAAGCTAAAAAAAAAAAAACACACTCAGAACATTTCAAAACAAAACACTCAAAACCAAACTGAAAACAAAAAGCAAACAAACAAACCAAAACCTCGGGGAAATACCCAAACTAATTAACATTTACGCCATGTCCTAAGCACATGTAAATTTTATTTTCAAGATCTACTTTTTGCTGCTTTCCATGGTATGGCAATAAATGTCACATCAACTGGTATTTAAACTGACATTGGTAGCATTTTTTTTTACTTATTTATTTATTCAAACAGAAATATCATACATAAAATATCTTCAACAAAAAAATACATTTTAAACATGGTCGAAAATAGAGCGGGATGAAGCACAAGCTTATTTTTTCCCATCCCATTACCACATACAGTACATCATTTGTCTATTACTTAAACTTATTTCGTCTTTTACAGACCTCGTCTTTTTACATGAGAAATATTTTATCCTTTTGGCATCTTTGACATATTATATGTTTGATTCAATTTGTACATTTAAATTTAACATAAACATATGTTATGTTAACATAAACATAATTTTACACCACATACAGAAATGCACAAACTTTTTTTCAACCTCCTAAAATGTTGTTCTCAGATTATATGCCTCTTGTCTTTCTTCAAAAAAAAGCTTTTGTATGCATTTCGGAAGTAATTTATTCCTAGCTTTAAACATAAATTGTATTGTTTTAAATTTAACCAAATCATTGAACTTGAGTATTTTCAATTTAAAAAAGAAAATATTTGTATGCTCCAAATCCCCCACATTTTCCATCAGTCTAATTACTTTTTTTCTGCATCGTAAATAAGGATCGTAAATTAGATTTATATGTATTTTGCATTTATTGCCATATCAGCTTCTCTGGCTATTTAATGGCAAAACCAGATCCAATTTACAACGTTTTATAAATATCACTTTTCTGTAATAATAAAAAATATATAACAACAATAAAAAGACAACAGCCATAGATAACACATAACATTGATACATAAATAATTATAACATACAAGATAAAAATCTAAAACTGTTTTTACAGGTTTACCTTTGATGAAAATGTTTATATTTTAGAAGGATTCACATTTAAAAATATATAATATAATATATAATTTAAAGTGTCTCCAGATAAATACAGTTTGCAAAACATAATGCAATTTTCATTTATACCTCAAACAGAAAATTTACACCCAAAAAAAAAAAAAACTTGTACTAAAAAAAAAGAAAAACGTATACAAATAATTTTACTACTAACGTTGCGACTCTCAAGTAAAGCAAGTATTAGTATGATAATGTGTAGTGCAAATGACTGGCTGACAGTGTGACATATGACCGTAATGCAGTTAGACTGAGGCAGGACAGCCACGGCCATCCATTACCCAGTCAGCCAGTTCTAAAATGGACTGAAATTACTACAGAAATAAACATAGATGATTCCCATAAGGCCTGAATAAAAGAGATATCCAGCTATTCATCATGTATGTGACAATAAGAGCGCTAGTCACATCCCAGAGCTGGCAAAGGTCCTCAATCTGCAATCTAACCCAATCAACAGAGCCACAACTACATTACTCACACAATCTGATACAAACGGCCAGTGACGTAACTATGGATGGAGATGTATGGATACAACATCAATGCTTTAAAGGAAATAAAGGCACCACTTTTTTCCCATTTTTCACTTAAACAAATTTCAAATCTGCCAATCACATGACAGAAACTCCATGAATTTGAGCATGTAGACCTGGTCCAAAAGTTCAAAACAAGCCTCAGAATGAAGGAGAAAGGTGAATGAAATGACTGAAATAGCATGGTTGTTGAGATTTTCAGAAACTGCTGATGTGCTGGGATCTTCTTACTCTAGGATTATAGAGAATTGGCTGATAGAGAGAAATTATCCTGTGGCAGTTCTGTGGGAAAATTCTGATGCCAGAAGTCCAGACTAGCTTTGTAAAGCATAATCTGACAATGCGCTTCAGTCACAGAATACGGTACACACATTGTGTTATAATTACAAAGTTTACATCATGTATAGTTATTTCGTGCATGCAGATCAATTTAGGACCATGATCAGTTCACACTGGACATCTGATGTTGGCCACATTTAAAACAGCTATGCAAATAAGTCAGATCTGAGGATAAGTCTGATTTGAGCACTAAGCCTCGCAGTCTGCACAGGCTCACAAAAAATTGGACTGTTTAAGAGACATGGTTCAATATTCATGTCCTTGGACCTCATGTAATTTCAAATAAAATGTGTTTTTTCCAATTATACCCAAAGCAAGAGTTTTCAGAGATCATTTTGGAGTGATGAGTGATTAACATTTCAACACTTTAGGATGTATTTGCATGTTTATGTGCAGAAGCTCTTCTGGTAAAATTTTAGAATTAGAAAAAAACCCTCTAACTTTTAGCACCACCAGAGCATCATTTAAACACCACAGTAAACAAAACGCCAGCAACTACAACTGCATGATAGTGGAAAAAAACTGGCATTGCAATATTTTATTTTTCTCCAATATCTATTGCAACATGAATATCAATTCCCCAGAGGATTCTATATTTGTAAAGAATTCATGATTTTGATTGATTGTGATGATTTTGTAGGGGAGCGCATCTGCAAAAAATATAATTTAAAAAATGACAAGCAAAGTTTAATAGCACAGAGGAAAGATTTAAATGAAATAAACAATGATTTATGATTTTCTGGGGAGACCCGCACTATTCAGGAGCAGATATTAAATAATCAAATATAAAATAATTATCGTTTTTTTATTGTGTAAATATTTATAAATTGCACACTTAATCTTTAAACTACAAATGTTTATTCTACTGCAGTCAAATGTTGTACATTTGCTTAAAATATCTACAGAGTCAGAGACCTTAACAGTAAGCTTTCACATTAAGGTTAAAATATGAAATGACTCCACTATGTTCAGAACTGTAATATCTGGTCAACAATAATCCCAACTCTACTTTGCAGATTCTGTGATGTGTCTATAGCATATTCGCACTTTGCGATATTGATTCCAGATCTATAAATTGTGCAGCCCTACCAGCAACCCATTTATGACTACAGTGAACCCATTTTGTGAAGGCTATGACAATGCGCCATTTTACAAAGCTCAAATCCTCTCAAAGTGGTTTCTTTTCATGACAATGATTTCATTATACTCAATCAGTCACCAGATCTCAATCTAATAGAGTACCTAAGGGATGTGAAGAACCAAGGATCTGCAGCAGTTGCATGATTCTCTCAAGACAACTGTAACATTGATCATCCTGAAAATAATGAGGCATTTAGAGAGAGACAGGACTGCGATGCAGGCTGAGGATGAATGTGATGTGATGGAGGAGTTTTAATCCAGAGGATCTGGTGGCATGTGACTGCCAACTCTGGCTTACTCTTCACCAGCTTGTATGAACCAACAGAAAGCCCTGCCAAACGCTGTGCCACCAGCCTGAGGAACTACAAACAGCTTTAACGGGATAACAGCCATGAGTCTGAGCTGGCATACCAATGTCAATGCCCCTCTGCGGGTTTCCCTGCCCCCCGATCAGGTCCTCCACCCAGTGGATGTAGTTGAGGCGGAGCGGGACGGTGGGGATGAGCCGTTCCAGGGGGATCTCGATGGTTAGGCCAAAATCCTCTTTCAGCAGGGTGCATGTGAGGGCCCGGACAGCCTCTGGGTCTTTAAAGTTGAGCCTATGAGAGGAAGGAGGATTAGTAGGGGGTAACAGATAGAAATGTATAAAAGCGGTCAGCTAAAAACTCAACACATACTCAATTCAGCTACAATTATAAGCGCTAATCATAAAAACACCCATGCATTAAGCTATTGAAGCACCATTAGGCATGGGCTGGTATAATATTCGGAGAGTATGATAACCTCGGGTAAAAATATCACGGTTTGACGTTCTCATGTTATTGTAACTATTGCTCTAAAATATGTTCTTTTTAAACGTCTGGGGAAAAAACAACAATTTTCTTCCCCATTGAATTTTTTTACATTTAAAATATTTTGAAACAATAAATACCATTGACAAAAAAAGTCACTGACTTCTGCTGTTTTTCTTTAGTTTCAAAAACAAAGGGATCTTTTAATATCTTACTTTTCTTTGGATATAAAGAAAGCCACTGCACTGTTCAGCTCTACAGCATGCTGGATGTTGGTGCATACGGGATTTGTTTTTTAGATGTTTCCTGAATCATGGACTGACCAGTAGCTTGTGATGTGAAAGGTCCTTTTCTACTGTTGCCTTAAAAAATTCAAAATAGCCCTAAAAACCTGTTTAAAATTTTTATTTTTTTTTTAAATAAATAAATAACTTACAAATAACTTTAGATCGGTATAACAGAAAATTTTAACGGTTTTAAAACCTTTATTTTTCAAAACCGCAGTAAACTTTAAAACAGGTTATCATCCTATGCCTAAGCACCAGGTTGACACAAATCTATTTTAGAACACGAGTAATTTAAGTAAGAATACACTAACTGCATGTTAATAAAAAACCTGGGTAAAGGACCCTGAATAATAAGGGTTTATTTTGAAAAATAAAATTAAAAGCTTTCCACAACAACATGCAAGTTTTTGTTTGTCAAAATAAGACTGAAAGTTTTTTTTTTAATGTGTGTGTGTGTGTGTGTGTGTATATATATATATATATATATATATATATATATATATATATATATATATATATATATATATATATATATATATATATATATATGGTTGCATTTCGACAAGCACATCTCAAAATAGTAAAAGAAAAAAAAAAACATGTCAATAGTTTTGTATTTATCAACAAGAAGTATTCCAAGTGCATAACTTAACAATTTGAGAAAGAAAATATTTGATCAAATAATGTCAATGACTTCACACACACATGAACCCATTATTATAATATAACAACATCTATGACTACAACAGTTCAAAGTGTTAGCTGTGAACTGAAAAGCTGTTTGTGTGTGCAAAACACAATATCTCTATGGAAAAATGTGATATGTTAGAGAAAAACACGGTATTTTGGGCAGCAATAGCTATAAATATGTAAGAAATTGAATTTTCAGGCTGATTTCATTCAGCAAATGTGCTGTAGGGTGGTGTAGTCATTACAAAAAAATGGTTCCTTTCTCTCAAAATCCTCAATGTACACCAGAGCATTCAGACTCAGAGGCAGTAATGTCACATGTCTGTGCTTATCAAAGCAGGGAGGTTGACTGAGACAGGTGTAATTAAGGGTGCTTTCGTACGTTCACACCTCTATAGAAGTAATTAAACGCTCCATGCTGCAGACCATGTCTGACACCTCAGAAGGGAAGCAAGATGTGCATGTGAGCCATACAACGGCTGTGATGCGGTGGAACAGAGCCATGGTGTGTGAAATGCTATTTTGCCGAGCCTGTAGAACCACCTGCACCCCAGCCTAATCATAAGAGCTCTTTATCACAGAAGGACTGTGTGACATTAAGGAGAGATGGTGCTCTGTAAGTAAAGAGATGTGCATAAGCAGAAAGAGTGCTTCTGTCTAAAATAGCTTAATGATTGGGAAATTACATTTGAGATGTTAAGTAAATCTCTAAGCATCTCTTCTCAGTTTTTTTGTGTCTGTTGTGATATGGCATTCATATGTGGGACAAAGTACTACTGACATAAATGTCATTACACAGCTCTCTGGAATACAACATACCAATGAATAATAATGATAAAACTTCTATTAATAATAATAATAATAATAATAATAATAATAATAACAACAGTGTAGTTTTTGTTCCAAACAATTTTCTTTTTGCAAGCAGTAAGTAGTGGCAAGTAGTAAAGTTAATAAACCGATAAACCTGTTGGGTTTATTCTGCGAGAACAACCAGCTGGATTTCCATTATCCCTTATGCAATTATAATGCATGAATAACATGGCATTCAAATCTCTAAAGCTACCAGACAAAATGTAAAAATAAATAAATAAATAATAGAGATAAAATGTAATTTTAAGTTTCGCGTTAAATTAAAACATTTTTTAATTTAAACTTTGCAAAACTTACATTTTAGAAAATTATGTACACTACTTTGCAAGTGTTTGGGTTTAGTAATATTTTAATATTTATTGAATTAAATATTATATATAAAGTATATCCAGAAAGATTTCATAGCTCTTCACTTTTCCACATTTTATGTTACAGCCTTATTTCAAAATGAATTCAATTCATTTATTTCCTCAAAATTATTCACACAATACCCCATAATGACAATGGGAAAATTTAAATGGGATTTTTTAAAATTGTTGCAAATTTATTAAAAATAAAAAACTTGCATGTCACAAAAAAACTTTGCAAATCACAGAGTTGTTGTGAAGCCACTCCAATGATATTTTGGTGGTGTCCATTAGGCCATTGTCCGGCTGGAAGATGAACCGTCGCCCCAGTCTGAGGTCAAGAGCACTATGAAGCAGGTTTTCATTCAGGATGTCTCTGTACATTGCTGAATTATTTTTTTCCCTCTATCCTGAATAGTCTTCCAGTTCCTGCTGCTGAAACACATCCCCACAGCATGATTCTGCCACCACCATGCTTCAGTGTAGGGATGGTATTAGCCTGGTGATGAGCCGTCCCTGGTTTTCTCCAAATGTAACGCCTGGCATTCACTCCAAAGGACTTCAATTTTAGTCTCACCAGACCAGAGAATTTTGTTTCTTATGGTCTGAGTCCTTCAGACGCCTTTTGGCAAATTCCAAGCGGGGGGTGGCTTCCATTTGGACACTCTACCACACAGGCCTGATTGGTGGATTGCTGCACAGATGGTTGTCCTTCTGTAAGGTTCTCCTCTCTCCCCAGAAGAACGCTGGAGCTCAGACAGAGTGACCAACAGGTTATTGATCACCTCCCTGACTAAGGCCCTTCTCCCCCGATCACTCAGCTTAGATGGCTGGCCAGCTATTGGAAGAGTCCTGGTGGTTCCAAACATCTTCCACTTACAGATGATAGAGGCCAGTGTAAACTTTCTGAGCAGCATAACATTTTTCTGTAACCTTCCACAGCCTTGTGCCTTGAGATAATCCTGTCTTGGAGGTCTAGAAAATTTCTTTGTCTTCATGCTTGGTTTGTGCTTTGACATGCACCGTCAACCCTGGGACCTTATATAAACAGGTGTATGCCTTTTCAAATAATATCAAATCAACTGAATTTTCAACAGGTGAACTCCAATTAAGCTGCTTAAACATCTCAAGGATGATCAGTGGACACAGAATGTTCCTGAGCTCAATTTAGAGCTTCACGGCAGACTTATGTGCATGTGATTTTCAAGTTTTAATTTTAATAAATTTTCATCAATTTTAAAAAATCTTTTTTTCCCCCATTGTCATTATGGAGTATTGTGTGTAGAATTGAGAAAATAAATGAATTTAATTCATTTTGGAATAAAGCTGTAACATAAAAACATTTGGAAAAATTCAAGCGCTATGAATACTTTCCGGATGCACTGTATATTTCAGAAACAATACATCAAAATTAAGTGAGTTTTTCCATAAAACAAGCCATAGAATCTTCCAATAAGCTAAACAAAATTATCTTATTTCAAAGCAAAAACAAGATTATTTTGCTTAACCCATTGGTAGATTATTTTGCCTGTTTTTAGGAAAAACTCACTTAACTTGGACACGTTATTTCTGAAAACAAGTCCATACTTTTTTACTTGTCTGGAAAATGCTTCTTGGTTTAAGAATTTTTAGATGAAGTAAAAAAAGCTTCTGATTTTGCCGTGTAAACAAGTGAAGCAGTAACATAAAACAACCATTTTTTACATGATGTCTCAGAATTTGGGGTCCATTTAACATGTAGATTTAAGCCTCAAGAAAATATCAGCATCAGCAATTAGATAAAACAAGGCTCTAATATAGATCAAGGGAAATGAAAGAACAAACTACTGTGACAAACAAAGTGTTGAACAATCATTAGACCAAAACAAAGTTCATTTTGTTTAAACTGCAACCCTGTTTTCATTAAAAGAAATCAGTACAGTCATGATCTCGCTCCCAGTAAACTGCTAAAAAAAAAAAACAACCACAAATGAAGTCTTTGGTCAGACACCAAATCATCTTTCTTTTTTTCCAACACAACACCAAAGAGGAAACATTTGTCTTGTGGAAAATCCAATAGACCTCTATCTTCATGATTTATTAACACATTAGCCCTAATTAATCCAGTATTTCAATTCAGACTATTAATCTTAAAAACGTGAGCTTGTGAATTAAAAATGAATGTGAATTTCAGATCAGAGGTTTCCATGGATCCAGGATTACCTACCATAATAAAACCATCCATCGCAATTTTATTGACAAACAAACCCAGAGCTAACAGAAGGACCACAAATACATACTCAAAAGAAAAAAAAAAAAAAAAACGTGTTGTTTGTTCAAACTACTTATTTAAAATGAGTGGAAACAACACACTTGTTTAAAGGATCCAGTGTGACTGAAGCTGACCGTGCACCCATCAGGTCATAATCATTGTGCAAAGGACGAGCCTGCTGGTCTATTTTTAGAATGCAGGATGAAGAGCGAGTGCCGCAGCCCAGCCAGTCTCCACAGTAACTGCTACAGCGCATGCAGTGTGTGTTAGTGTGGATGTGTGTTAGTGTGTGAGAGGAGGGATGCTGACGTGAGCTGTGTGTATAAAAGGCCGGATCGACTCCAGCATAAAACTCGGAAA